GGTCCCTGGCAACCACCATTCTACCTTCTGTCTCTATGAATTTCATTACTCTAAGTACCTCTTGTAAATGGAATCAAAATGTATTTGTCTTTTTGTAGTTGGCTTATTTCACCTAGCATAATGTCCACAAGGTACATTAATGTTGTCACATGTGTCAGAATTTCCTTTCTTTTTAAGGCTGAATAGCATTCCATTGTATGTATTTACATTTTGTTTATTCATCTATATGTTGATTGGACAATTGGTTTGCTTCCACATTTTTGCTGTGAATAATGCTACCATGAACATTGATGTACAAATACCTTTTAAGTCAATACTTTTAATTCTTCTTAGTATACACCCAGAAGTTGAATTGCTAGATCATATGATTATTCTGCTTAATATTTTTTGTTTTCCTCAGCAACTACATTATTTTACATTTCTACCAGCAATTCATAAGGGTTTTAATTTCTCCACATCCTCATCAACACTTGTAAACTTTTGATGAGGGAGCGTTTTTGTTTTCGTTTTTATGATAGGCACCTAATGAGTGTTAGATATCTTGTTTTTATTTGCATTTCCCTGATGATTAGTCATGCTGAACATGTACTTATTGTTCTTATTCGTCAGTTGTGTATTTTCTTTGGAGAAATATTTATTCAAGTCCTTTGCCTGTCTTTAATTTAATCAAGTTGTTTTTTGTTGTTGTTGAGTGATGGGCTGTTGTAATTCTCTTAAATGTACTATTAAAATGGTTAGAACAATTCAGAAACTCAGTTGTAAATTCAAGTGGTTGAGAATGTTAGAGTTAGAATTGGTTATGACTCAATTTTATGGCCTTGGGCAAGTTTAGTCTCTTTGTCATTTTTGTCTCCTCAACGATAAAGTGACAAGATTAGAATATAAGTGATTTGGGAACTGTATTTTACAGAGATCTAGGGAGCAGTTTTTTTTTTTTTTTTCATATCTACGTATTGAGAAAAGATCCTAAAACCCCCTATACTAATGGAAGTTACATTACCATTTCCTTCTTTCACCACCTACGCTTAAAATTACATAGTAATTATATGTCTTTATAGTGGAATTGATTGCTGAAGTATTCAATCATTTAAAAAGTTTGAGTGATTTCATCTGTTCACAATAAATTTAGGAGCTTCTTTGACCTCGAATTTACCACAGTTTAGGAGTTTATTGGTTTTATCAGTAACTTTGGTGTTTATTTGACCTGGTTCATTACTGTTATGAGATGTTGACAGCATTATATACTCATAAATGCCTTCTTGACTATCTGTCTCTTTAAGAACATCTATTTTAAGTACATGTTGAAATCTTGCATAGTCTCCAGATGACAGCATAGCAATAGAAACTTCTGTGTTTTGTTCTCTGGTCGGGAGACTTCTATTAGATACTTACCTTATGTACCTCTTACTGTGTTTTATTATCCCAGAGTATTTGATAATTAATCTGTAGAATTCTATACATGTCACATAACAGTTGCTTCTGCAAGCCACATATGTTCTATAACATTAAGACTCTTAGACCGTGTGCCTTCAAACATACAACTATAGTAGAGTCCTTCATAACCACTTTAGTTGAAACCACATAACTAATCATAAAGGTCAAAGTGGATAATCCGGAAAAAAAAACCTATGTACCTTAAATATTTTATTTTAACCTAAAGGATATAAATATATATTCTTTGACAATCAGTCTTTTTTAAAGCTAAAGCTTTTATTTGTGTATGGATTTTTGAGCTCCACATTTTCTATCCTGGATAAATTATACTATAGTGCATCCTATATAATTTCCAGCTTAGTTTAAAAAAAAATTTTATTAAATCATATAAATTACATTAACAAGTAAAACTGGCATAAACAGATTGGGGGACAAACATAATCACTTGGTAAAAATACAGCTCATCTGTTGAGAGCAAAAACGCATGATTGCCACATATATGCTGATGTTAAAGAAAAGTGGTCTTACAGCCAGGCCAGGCCTGGTGGCTCACACCTGTAATCCCAGCACTTTGGGAGGCCAAGGCGGGCAGATCACCTGAGATCAGGTGTTTGAGACCAGCCTGGCCAACATGGTGAAACCCCGTCTCTACTAAAAATATAAAAATTAGCCAGGCATAGTGGCACATGCCTGTAATCCCAGCTACTTGGAGGCTGAGGCATGAGAATCGCTTGAACCTGGGAGGCGGAGGTTACAGTGAGCGGAGATCGCACCATTGCACTGCAGCCTGGGTGACAGAGCGAGACTGTGTCTAAAAATAATAATGATAATAATATATGATCTAACCAAAAAACTAGAATTATAACAGGTTTTCTGATACTTATACTTTTAAAAAATAATTCATTAGAAGCCCAAACTTCAGCATCACACAATATACCCATGTAACAAACCTGCACATGTACCCCAAATCTAAAATTTAATTTAATTTAAAAATAATAACATTGGCAGAAAACATCAAAG